AGGTTAGTAGAAAAAGAAATTGCAAAAGATGTTTTTCTTTCAATAAGGTAGATAGTTCAGTTTTATAGCCCTAGATTGTACAATTCTACGTTTATCATTTTCTATGTACGGTATTTTCTGGCAGTATATCTATACATTAAATCACTTACTTGTACTAATACCAGAAAAAAAAAGTTCGTTTTTCCATACATAGCTATATATTTAACCCACCCTTGACGATTGTGGTTGTAAATTATGACAAATCTCGCGTGATTTTTCCTGGAAGAGAAAATATCTTCCTAACCAAGACATAATTAAGTTATATCACATGAGTTTCTGCCATTCAATAATGTCGTATGACAACAATAGTATTCATTTCGTTATTTCTTTTAGTTCGCACAATGCTGTACACGTGAAGTTCCTCTATGACAAAGTATAGAATGTGAAGATATATATATTTGACCATTTTAAATCGTGTATTTAATTCAGGTGTGTCACTAAGATTGAACTGTTTTTTTTTATTTGTTGGAAGCAAGCAGCCATTTGCAAGGTAATAGCTGCTCGCATGGCAATATTTTTAAAAAAATTATATTAACTGATTTACAATGAGCTTTTATCGCCGGAAATAAGTCTGTATCTCTCTTGGTAATTTGTAAAAATGACCTGCTATTGCCCGTTTCGCCCGTGATTTCTGTCACAGAGGGTGATACAAGATGACATTAACAAGTTAGCTCTACTTTGTTTAAGTTTTGCCATCTGTCAATTGTCTTTCAACCTTTTGGCCGTTTATCAAACATTGTAGGTGAAGATGATAAGGTCAAGAGACTACTTGTGAGAAAAAAATAATTGGAGCTATTGTCAGTTGTCAGTTAAACTGCTGACGGTTCGATGGTTAACAGCAACCCCATCCAGTTCTTCTTCAAAGGGAAGACGACCTCACTAGCTGGTGATACCCAATAGAGATGTTTCTGTTTTCTTGCCAGACGCATTATCTGAAGTATAAAAGTTTACGAATTCAAAGGTGCCTACAGGAGACGTCCGATTGGTCGTACAAAAAGAATGATAAAGACCTGTTGAACCAGGGGGTAAAATTTTCATGGATCCTTAGCCCATTCAGTTTGCTAAGAAAATTGAAACAAAAAATGAGTACGTACGAAAGTTCGCAAAAGTAGAAGTAGTATTGGTTAGCCGGGCGGCTGTCCAGTTTAACCAGACTTCTAGAAATTTATGACACACATAATACTTAAGGAGATCGAAGAGAGATTTCTCGAAGTTCTCTCTAAATTCTGCCAAGTTCCGCCTGACCAGTCATACCTCTCTTTTCTCATTTTCTCAGAGTGCAAGCCAAAGATGGCACTCACATTTCAAGCTCTTTTTGTGGCTTTAACTCTCGTTGCCTACGGCGATGCTGCTGGTATCGGAAACGTCTTTAAGCTCTCGCGTATTGGTAAGACTTTCCGGAGATTACCCATGAGTACCAGGGGTCTGGAACGATCTGCAGATATGGCTGGTTACACCTTTGGTATTGTTGGGGCATACTGGCGCTCCAACACACTGGCTGCATACGCCCAAATGTCACGTGGAGAGATCCAAGAAGCCATGGAGACCATTCAACTCGCTATAGCAACCTTGACAGTCTGGGACCTTGGTCAGGGAATCGCATATCCAGTGGTGCACAAGCTAGTCGATAGAATGATTAAGAACAAACAACTATTTGGAAACACTATTCAGGCGTTTGATGACTACCGTAACATTATGAAGACGGGAGTTCTTGATGACGCCACGAGAGCAGCAACTCCAGACGCTCTGAAGGCCAAACTTTTACGAAAGAAAAGGAGCATAGGCAACGCATTTCAGACAGATGTCACCAAAATTATTCAGAAGAGCCAGTTGTATACAGATCTAGTGACAGATCTAAGAGGAATCAAGAATGTACTCAAGGTCGTTAAGTGGACTGATGTTATTCTGGGACCTCTGTTCGATGCAGCAACGGTAGGTGTCAGCGCCTGGCAGCTTGCAGAAGCCATCAAGAACAAAGACGGACCTGCAATCGCTGCAAGTTCACTCTCCCTTGCTTCAGGTCTTGCTGGGATCACGGGATTTGTTGTCTCCGCACTTGCAACTACGGGATCTACGCTGGCGGCTGTTGCTGGTCCCGTTGGAGCACTCGTGGGCGCTATTCTTGGACTGGCGGCAATTATGGTTGAAATCTTTACAGCCCTTAATCCGTATAGGCAAATCGAAAGTCACGTTAAGATGATTCGAGACCTCACGGACAGATCAAAAAAGCTGCTGGACCGAAATATTAAGGATCTCCCCAACCTTGTTCCGCAACGAGATCATTTTGAATTTTCGTGGGTGTATGAGGTGAACCAAGGTCTTATGATCGAAAACATCCAAGGTAGACTACAAATGTGGGGGCATCATGTTACGTTCAAGCCCGAGAATCCATCGAAAGAAAAAAATGGTTATTTGGTCATTGGACCAGAAAGACATTTGGACAAATCGAAGTATCCAGGCAATTTTTTCTGGAATCCTACAGGACTTGAAAACATTGGTTACGACTTCTACGGTAAAAAAGTTACAGATGAATTCAAGGGTGCCACAGTGATAGTCAATACTAATTTGGTAGCTGGAAAAGCCAGCGTGGAACTAAAAGGACTGGACATTACAACTTACATGAGCGAGACTGATGACAAGCCGGACAATGTGATCATTGACGATATGTACGACGTAACACCCTTACCCGGATGTGTTACAGTTAAAACAGGCGCAGGCGACGACGTCATTCAAATAAATGGCTTGGTCGGGAAACCCAGAATATTGAATAGTCAACTACGACCTAATCCGAACCGGAAAGCTTTCTTTGCCATCCGTTCAGCGTATGGAAGGTACAAAGTAATGCAGAGAAATAATGACGTTCTTTCTTTTGAAGGAATGCCGAAGGTACAAAAACGCGACCACAAAATTCTCGGCGTGGAGTACGAGATATTTTTTGGAAAACTACACTATAGGGTTGCTGACGATCAAGGAAGGCCAGTGAGCGTTTACTGGGGTTTCGTAGAAGGGATCAAGATGTTCGTGGGGACGCCGTACAACGACATAGTGGATGTTATGTTGGGCGGAATGTTTTTCATTCGACAGACAAAGGGACAAAACGTGTATAAACTGTACCTTCATCCGGTTTTACATTCCCGTACCACAATTGATGATCAATCCAAAACACCAGGCAAAATTATCCTCGAAAGCCGCAGCTATCAGGGTGGAGGTGGTAAAATAACGAACAGATGTCTTCAGTTTTCCAAAGATGATCGCACATTGTACATTTACGAAGACAAAGGGCAGGCATGCGCAGAGTATTCTCGCGCAAGAATCGTTTTTAGCAAGAGAGCAAGCAACACCCACTTGGTGAGAACGGAGGCAGATGGAATCGAAATGACCTTGGAGCAACTTCGGCCGAAAACCAGTGATGCAGCCATGTTTGATGCAGGAGGAAATACGCAGTATTTTTCTGATTCTGCTTCGGCGCGAAACCGAAGCTACTGCCAGAAAGCGAATGTTGCTCTTTATCCACCTCATCCTCACCAAAGCAAATTCGTTTTGAAAACCATTCAAAGTAATGATTCCAAGGGTGCACTGATCTTGTCTTCCGACTTCATAAACAGTTGTATGCATAAGTCAAACATGTCAGTTTTACTCGTCCGTAGCTTTGACCTGGATCGTCCTTCCTGGCGTCTGAAGTTCTTTGTACCGAGAGATCAATACCATGTTGAATGTCCTGGAAACGAGTTCGAGCTCCCCATTGTCAAGAACTTTGCAAGGCTCATGGAAGAACGGAATGATGGGGAGGATCGTTTGGTGGCTGATCTTCGTCATGACAAGCGTATTCAAATCGATGTGAACGCAGAGTTGGCGAAACTAGATAACCGACAAAGCTACCATTTTGACAAAGAATTCGAAGGAGAAGTGGGTGTTTCCCAAGATTTGTTGTTGAAGCCGCCTATAACCATGGATCCGCCATCGACCTTGACCTTCCAGTTGGATGTCAAAGGTGGTCGGCAGTGGGATCCAGACGCGTTGATTTTTACTGACGAACTAAGGAACTGGCTGAAGGAAAATGGACGGAGGATGCTGTTGATAAACGAACTCGAGGGGGCTTGGAAACTGCAAATAACCAAAGGTGACGACACACCCACACATTCTCTGAATCTGAAGAACATCGAACGCATCGATTATGAACCAAGGGATGGGTCCCTTAGGCAGCCTATTGTCCTGGACTTAGCCACTGAGGTTAAGAAAAGGATCGATTTGGAGACCACCACTGTTCATGATCTACTAACGGAGACAGATTCTTCCATGGATTGAAGAAATACAGCGTTGATCACTGAGCTCAACATGGAACATTTACTACTTCTGGAGTTATATAAGTTTCTGGCTGTAGTTATTCCATGGATGAAAACATGCCAAGTAATAATCATTGCAATAGTTAGTATCACCGAGGTGTACAAATCAGTAACAATGAAATTAGAAATGACAGTGTTCGTAAACTAACAATGTCATTTTATTTATGTTTCACAACAACAACCAACATTTAACAGATTGACAGAAAAACGAAGCTCGCAAAAAGCCAGTCCAAAAGACTATTAGAGGCAAAAGAATCTTGGTAATACTAGAGGA